GTGCAACGACGGTCACTATGGGAAAGGGCGACCGTTAACTCGGTAATAGGTTCACCGTATAACGTATGCAATACACATAGCTGGTATACGCTTTTTATTCCTATAATCGAGCCATCGTGCGAAAACGAAACCGACCGAAAGTCCATTGAAAGGTTTCTTTTTACAGCTGAGATAAGATAATATGATGAGAACCTGAACCTAAACGCAACGCAGCTTTCACGAGGGCCCGTCGATATTTCAATGTTATGTTATAATTTTGCGGTTTTAAACAGATAATAGTTGTGTGGTACAATGTGATAGGACATTAAGATAAAATTCGATAAACTTACGTGCTCAGTCTATAATTCACGTTCATACCGGTTTTCGCTTTAAGTAGAAACAGTGTCAAATTTTACTTTGATTAATTTGAAATGTTTATAAAAATCTACTAAGAAATTAAGAAACCAAAAACACTGCTTATACTTTAGTCTTTACTCCTCCGTAAAAATATGATGACAAAGCGTAGTTACTCAAAAAGTTTCTTTTTATGTTAAGGTTAAATGCGACAAAAAATATGGTTAACCTCCGTTTGAAGCGTTACAATAATAATAGTAATAATAGTAATAATAATAATACTACAATTTGCATACATCAATCTTACACGGTCGGATAATTTCAAATTATAGCTACAAAAACTCATCGTACATAATATAATATTTAATAGTAATTACGCGTTTCTATGTCCGGTTTTCCCACGGAAAGCGTTTCAATTACTTTATTTTGTTAAAAAAAAAAACACAATAATTATTAATATCGAAAACAACCGTAATAACAACAAGTTTATTATAACGCGTTTGGGCGAGCAAAAAAATAAAATAGCAACGAAGGTCAGTCAATCGGACGGACGTCGAGAGTGGGAAGACAAATAACGAAAGGAAAGAAAATAAGAAAATGGACCGCCTCGAGGACCACCACTCGTGTTTGTCTGATGGCAGTAATTTGAATAATACATTTGAAAATTTAATAAACTAAACTGGATTACAGCCGCATTCCTACAGCGTATGCTTTCCCCAAGTATTTCAGTCACGACGACCGACTCTAAAGGCGGTAGGTACACCTTTCACGATTTACGAGGGTGTTGTATTTTTTTTTAAATATATAATAATACATAACTGAGGTCGTTTAAGTACACCGATACGAGCAACGGACACAATGGTAATTAGGCCGACAGTAAAACGGAGGCGGACGCGGTGCTGGTAGTCGAATAAGATGAAAAATTACTTATATTATTATAATGATATAACATGGAAACATAAAGCAATACGACACCGGTTACCGCGGAAAGGCCTAGAAGTTGATTTTTCCTTTTCCTACGCGTTTTTTTATTTATTTATTTTTTACCCGAGTTATGTCATTCTAGAACGTGCGCTACTTTCAACGAGTGCATTGTTCTTTCTTTGGACGTTGTCCTCGTCGTGTTTTCTCGCATTCAACACGTTTGCGGACGACACGGGCACGTATCAAATAGAATAATTCCGAATAGAAACAATGAAAAGGAATCTGGAAACGCAAAACTGGATATTCTTGTGTGTCACGATTCGAACACTATCCCCCGACCTGCCTGACGACCCGGTTGACTATTGCAAAACGTGCTGGGTTTCCTCCTAGCCATATTGGAAAATTAGGTTAAAAATTAAAATCAAAAACCTATGACATAACCGGTGTCGATAACAACAACAGAGTAAAAAAAATAACTATAACACAGCCGTTTAGTAGGAAAGTAACAGAGGGAGGCAGATGGTTATATCACTCACTTTTATATACATATAACTTGTGTAAATGTATGTATATATATATCTTATTATTCCCATCTACATTGTACACCCCAATTTTCTATTATTTTTTACAAACATATAAATAAATAAGTAATAAATATAGTATTTTAATTTCTATTAATGATTTTAAATGTATGAAAATAAGAACGTATCATATAATTCTTAACCTTTCGTAGAAGTTTATTTAAGGCGACTGAAATACTTTTTAATTATTATTAACAAAATAATAGAATTTAAAAAAAATTAAGCAATTTTATTTTTTAAATTAATATTTTAAAAGCATATTTGTTTTTTTTATCTATAACGCATACGAATGTACACCATTTCGGGGTCATTATGTCCTTAGTCCTAGTATTACAATCTATAGCTATGCTTAATGCTAAATCCTTATATATATATTTTTTAATATCTCATCTGTATCATCACAAAATATATATTATATTAAAGTGCACCCCTCAGTTTAAAATGAAACGGCCGCTTGTCGGCATAATACTATGTTTATACGACCAGCATGAAAACCTATCAATCGAGTTTATTACAGAGAAGTGTTGTAAATTAAATTATCTTATGATTTGATTTTTTCTACAAGAACTATCTCGGCGAACAAGAAACGGTTTACAGGAGGAGACGCATTTAATTAAATAGATTTTTCATCGTAATAATAATGATACACATTTTCACGTTGGCATCCGTCTAAATTGTTTAGTATTTTAAATTTTTATTCGCCTTTTGAACGACTCCGATTCTAGCCGAACACGTTTGGCGACTCTACATAATCAACCTTCTCGTACTCTGTGTAGAGACACGGCTACTAATAACCGGCCGTTAAAAATTAATTAGACACACAGAAGTCGAATTATTATTATATTATTAATAAAGACATGATGATGACCGACTGCCCAGTGAAGCGCTCACATACAGATCCGGCCGAGCACGACCGTCGTTCCAATAGGATTCGCGCGTTAACAATTTATTTGCGGTCATGTTTAATCGGTATTTTTTTTTTTTTTTTTTAGATAACAGTAACAGCAATAAAAATAAGTAATATAATATACTGTCCATGTATTACACAAAATATAATACTGTATACCGACGGTCAGGGTCCCGCGGTTTTGAATGTTGAAAGCAGGGGGGCTCGTCGTTTTGAAAATCCAGTGGTTCAAAAAATAATCGTATATTGTGCTAGGTCGTGCTGCAGTGTTGTTATCTATGTTGTACAACGCGCGCCTGCGACAAAAAACCCAAATGACCTTTTTCCTAATCCTAAACCACCGGGTCGAAGATCAGAACAATAATAATGTACGTAATGATATAATGATAGTATTATGTTAATCTTTATTCGATAGTTCAAAGGTGGTCAATTTGCCCCTATCTGGCGCTTGTTCGAAAATCGATAACCTTTGAAACGATAAGGCCAATTAAAAACAAACACTATTAAAACCTGCAAATCGGGTGGCTAGTCTACTACAGTTTTAGTACTATTTAATAATTAATAATAATAATTATCAATATAATCATTAATACACAGTCATTACTATCTATTAATTAGTCATCAACAAAACTATAACAAATACAGTCTGTATACATACATAAATTTAAAAACAAGCACAATAGAGACTGCCTTATGAATGAATCGACCTACTGTTCCAATTTGTCAGATACCTGCCATAATAATATGTGCCATTTGACAATGAATAGGACAGGACATATATATATTTAATTAATACGGACGCTGTATATTCCAAGTGTTAAAAAAAAACATTAGAGGTTAGTACCGTGAAGATCAAAATGACCGTTGTAGTGGCCTCGATTTTCACGGCTGAAAATGTGTAAGGATATCAGTCACGGTTCAACAGACGATAGGCACTATATTATACGATCAGTAAAACGAGCCTACGAAGGTACAACGCAATGTTTATCAACATTAGTATTGTTATTGATATTGGATTAAAATTTGGAACTTCCTTATGTATTTAATTGGAATGTTTATATACATATAGATAATAGGAAATGATAACATTAGCAATTAGAGCACATTAAACTTATTCTAAATATAATCATAGTTCATACACACACATACATATTATTATATATACATATTGTATAAATGTATTCTTATTATTTATCACTATCACATTTAATTGAATAAAAATTGAATAAACTATTGCTCTAATCTTTGAATGTCTCACAACATTACAGGTAATCGAGCACTTGAAACAAGATACTTAGAAAACTAATATATTATATTGTAAAGAGTCAAGTTTAGATGCCAATTCATAAGACAATCAGAATTTATGTTAATTTCAGTGAAGTAACCCACTTTAAAATTAAATAATGATCTGTTATTATTGACTATCGTGGACACTTGTCAATAATTTTCCATTGAGTTCTTTAGTAGGTATATACATATAGTAAGACTAAATGCAAAATGTATAAAACAACCAAGTTGAAAACAGATTAAGTTCAACAGATGATTCTGGAAAAGCTGCCAAAATCTTAAAACTAAATATAGGTGGTGTGTAGTTTCAATCTTTAAAACTTTAGTGAGCCAAGTCTACAAGAACAAATGACCAATAAAAAAATGTAAGTTAATTTTGAATTTGCCATGAAAATACATGTCAAATATTTGTAAACTATTTCAAGCTGGAGGTCAAATCTGATGATCAAAAGAACGACACAGTAACATTATCTTAAACACATTTTTTGAAAAGCATTAAAAAGTCTAAATTTTTGAACATGCTCAATAAAATGTTGATAGTATTAAACTGATTAACTCGCGAAACCCATATTAAAAGCTAAATACTATGAAAGCCCAAAGTAACTTTTAATTGATCATAAATACTCAGGAATTGAATATGGGCCAAATACAATATACTTTTGATGTACTCGAATGCATAGCTTTGAGTAAATTGGCCAACTGATAAATTCAAAAGCGAATGTAGGGCAGATTATTATGTGCAATGTATCTTGGAATACTTGAATTTTTTAACATGGTAGCATAAAACAAATAAATCACTATAAAAGTCGCCATACAAAATTAAACTTCAAAGTTCACTGTAATCATAACATTATGTATTCGATTAGGGTTCGAACTTAAAAATGTCTTATTGCACAGTACTAGTAATAATAATGTAGGTATATTACCTATGTCATTACTACTATTGTACATAGAAATCAACCGCTTACCTTTTTTTGTTGCTTCTCCCACGCCGGGTCCAAAAGTCCTTCCCGTTCCCATTCTTCTTCCGGTTCCATGTACCCGTTGCTGTAGTCTATGCCGTTCTCGTGATTGTTCATGGTCATCATTTTGGGGCTGGGGTTTTTCGTTCGAGTGGTCGACTAATAATGTGTTTTTTCGGTTTTTTCGTATGTGAAAAAAAATATGTACTTCAACGACGACGGTTGCCCTGCGATGCTGTTCCGTGCCGTCCGTACACCATAGATTTATTTAAAACGACCGGATGGAAGAAAACAAACGAACGGACAGATCTCGGACGTCCTGATGGAGAACGCGATCAACTATTAATAATTAACCCGACGGAATAACTATTCTCTCTATGTATTGTTAAGCGTGTGATATGGCAGGAAAAAAACCGCACTACTAACGACCGGCACTATACACATCGAAGCGGACCGTGTTGTTTTGTTGACTCGCCGCAGATGCATACGTGCCGTTCACCCCTTCTCCCTCTCACGGCACTCGTGGTTCAACCGCGCTGGCCCCTCTACGCCACCACCTCGCTCCCCACCGGTAACACCGCCGAACGTCGGCCGCCGCCGCCGCCGGCTGGCCGCTTTATTACCTCGGCAATTTAAACCGTGAAAATACCAGTGTTACCACGCGCCAGGTAACGGACCCGGTATTATGCCGCATCATCGACAGACCTGACGGCCCGTTTGAAATTTAACAGAAACTGATACTGACGACTGATACCACAACAAAATACAGACCGTCTCTGACCCCCGTCGATTGTTCAATGTCCATAGTTGGGATTTGAATGCGACATTATCTTGTTACCTGTTTGGAGTTTATTGTTACTAGGCTTTTTTGGAGACATCAAATGGACTTCTACTTGATTCCCTATTTAAGGGCCGTGGTTTCGTCATAAAATTATACTCAAAAAGCCGATTGGAAATACTCTCACGGTTTCAATTTTAAAAATTGTCTGAATCGGTTCACTGCACAAATAATTTAATGCGTTGATTGAAATTTTTTAATTTCGGTTTTTGTAAGTAATTTGTTAACTTAAAGATTCAACAATTTCTTACTTATGAGTTATGATTATTATGAGTGAACAATGTCTGTTTTTTGTTTATCGTTAGTCTATAAAAGAATTAATAAATGCCTCGTAAATATTAAATAATATGTATGTTCACTATAATTCAGGAATTTTTTTTTTTTTTGTCAATTTGTCTCTGACAAATGTCTCATTAATTGCATTTTTTGACGACTATTAAGTCAGTGATTGCTTCTGCCACTTTTATCGCTTAAAATATGTATATTATGAACCAGATGCTATCAGCCTTAAATACTTCTGTAGATGCCCACAACATGACTCACTAATATATAGTTTACAAGTTTGTTAATTTTATGTTTAACTAAAAATATGGTAATAGTCACGTGTATAAAATATTATGACTATATTTTATTTTATATGAAAAAAGTTACCTATTGTATTATCTTATTGGAAAGTTTATAAAACGATAAAAAAAATATACTTAGAACTTGCGTGTAAACTGCATATTGAAGAAAACTTATATATATATATATATAATATAAATATGTTTTTTCTTCAAAAATCCCAGTACAGACTAATCCTTTTAGCCTTTAGGTTATAAAAGAAAACGATCATACTCTTAAATCCTGTGCCGCCTCTCTTCATATTATCAAACTCAATTTACTTTAACACGGGCGTGTATATGCTAGTGGGCGCATGACTGAGTGGGTACATTAGGTAATTTATACAGGTTTTCTGTAAGTAAAAAAAATATAATTTGTGTTAATAAAATAATGTTTAATTCATTTAGTATATAAAAGAAATTATCTCTTACATTAAATGATGTCTGTTTTTAAAACTTTCTTATCAGTGTTTAGTAGACATAATAATAACTTTAAAAGTAAGTCTATAGATAATTTTTCCAAACCCATTAGTCATTACCACAGTGAAAATGGATAACAGAATATGAAATATATGTTAAAATATACTTCACACTTAATCATGATCTTTGTAGTTTTTTATTTATAAAGTTTATAAATAAAATAATTAATATTCATGTTTAGAAGATGTACCAGACATATATGTAAACAAATTTTGGCATTGGCCAACGCGCATTCACAAATAGTAAATAATTGTAATGCATCCGTTATATATTACACAGACTTTATTGTATTATATTATATTTTGCTATTTACTGTACATAACTACTCACTAGCTATAAATATTATTTTAATCGAAAAAAACGCTCAACAAATTTACAAAATGTTTATATAGCTTCACATACATAACAGTAGAAAACTACAAAAATATCAATCCTTTCCCCTAGAATAGGTGTAAAGATATCTTTATTTCATTTTTTTGTTGTTATATTAGGACGTAATATCTGAAAATTTGTCTGTGAACATGTAACATACTTTTTATTTTTGCAATCATCTTTCAACCTTTATTTTAGCACAATAATGCTTATACAAATTAAAATTGTATAATTTTACCTGTTGATATTTACTAAGTCCCGTAGATATTTTTACCTTAAAATTTTTTTTTTTGTGGATTATTGCCTATGTTTAAATTTAAAGATATTCTTTTTCTTTCATTTTGTGTATTCCTGAGAACAATTATTTAAAAATTATTTTACATAAATTATATGCATAGCCTAAATATGTGTAAAATGATTATTAGAATTTACAATTATCTCGTTATTCAATAGGTAGTTTGACGACATATTATGTTTCAATTGCTTGGAATGTTTGATGTTAGTCAACTTCTTTTTTGGACTTTTTTTAACAAATAGCCAAATAGATGTTCATAACTAAAATAAACATCAATAGTTTATCGTTTAACAATCGTTTGAGATAAAATTGTTTGTCTTAATCTTCTAAAAAAGTATAATGTATTTAATTTTTGCAAAACTATGAGAAACACATTTGTATAAATTTAAAATCTTATTTTAAAATAAAAATACATAATACAAATTCTAATGAAAAGGACTACATTGAGCAAGGTTAGTAAACATTTTTTTTCTTCTAGTTTATATATTTTTTTTATGCTAGTTATTATTTTTTTCTGTTAAAAATGTTTAAAAAAGAAAAGAAGAAATAATATCATGTAAAATAAAATAAAATGTTTGGTGTCGCTCGTTTAAACAACTACAACTCTGATCTCCCCCAAATTTTTTTAAAGTTATTACTTAATTCCTAGCAATCCAAATGCCAAAGAGAGTGCTCTTCTTCATAATTATGCTGCTTGGCTTAGAGCTATTTCCTGTCGTCCTTGGTTCTGGAACTCTCCCTTACCCAGATCCTTTATTATATCTTTCACAGGACTTCGTCTTGGTCACAACCTCCTTCCCGCTCGTGCCTTCCATCTTTCCCTAAACTCATCTCCCTTTTGTACCCTCCATCTTAATGAAGCTCCTTGTAATTTTAACCATATTCTCCTTGACTGTCCTACTCTATACTCCAACAGAAAAAATTTACCTCCCATCTCAGTTCGCTCGGCTATACCTCCCTTAATCCCTCTCTTCATCGTCCTCGTAATTTTCTTTATTTTCAAAGATTGATGTCATATTTAATTGTTACTTTTGGCATGTTTTATTATTTTTATAGTTTATTTTATTGTTTTTATAGTTTGTTATAATACTATTTTTGAATATAGATTCATAATTGTCGTGCTGCATAATATTGTTCAAATAATAGCACATTAATATTAAAATAAAACTATGTGTAACTTGAGAGCCTTTAATATCAAAGATATGCAAAATAAAGACATGTAGGTACATATAAACATGCTGTGTTTATTTTAAGGGACAGATTAAATATTTGTGTTTCCAATCTAGCACAAACTATAGATTTGCAAAAAATTGTAATATAACATTTATAACATGACAAATTGGATTAGGTAGCTCAATTTTTTTTTCTTATTAATGAAGTATTTATTATTATTTTAAATACATTTAATTGACAATAATTGAAGCCAAAAGTTTGTTTTACAAAAAAAAAAGTCTTATACTCCTTTGCCATATCTCATACAACTATACACAAAAATAATTTCCCTCTAAAACAACCAACTAGAAAGAAGAAGATATTAATATAAAAATATCAAAAAACTGCACAAAGGTTAGCGGTAGAAATTTGAACAATGATAAAATTACCTATTATAACCCCCAGCTAAAATCCTGATATCTTTCTATGTGCTACGAGTAATGATTAAATACATTTAGTTAGATAATTCAAATTAAGAGTACACACGCCGCCCATTTTTGAGGAGTAAAGTATAGGCAATTTTTTACAAAATCATAACTTAAAGGTTCAACTGTGATGTGTAACTATTAGTTCAGTAGTTAGGACTCTTTTTTGGTAGTTAAATTATTTCTGACAGCATCCTTGACAGCAATTTAAAAAAAAAATGTCTGTTGAGTTGAATTTTACGCGGATTAATTTTTCTCAGGCTTCATAATATGTAGTTAAGGAAAGAAATTCATACATATTATTTATGACAAAATTGTCTGTGTTCCATCATCCGTCTTTTTCCGATATATCTAATACAACCAACGCTATATCATTTTAAAAAAGTAAAAAAAAAAATCTTTTCTTCGTTAATTAATTATTCATTAACTCGTTGAAATATTTAAAAAAAAAGGCCATGGTAGAGCACAGGCAATGTTGTTGTCTATATTATGTGAAAATTTGGTTTCTTAGTTTTTATTACAGGCTTTGTAAAATTAATCGCTGCAAGGCGGGTTTTTTTGAAGAAAATAACGAGTGTGTGATGCTCTCTTAAGAGAAATAGTAATTTTTTGTAAGGTACTTATGATTAAACCTAGAGAGGGACATTTCCCTCCCTCAAATAAATCCATTATTCATTAGACGAAACATTACAGTTTTTGTACATTCGTTTCGGTATTCAATTTCTTAGTATTTCTTTGAGTAGGAAAAATCCTGTCACATGTTTACATGTCAAAAAAGCAATGATTAAATTTATTTTAAATAGAAAATAAAGTTGTAAAATAACCCCCCCCCCCTTTACTTGACTCAATAAAATTGTTGCTAATATGCCTAAATGTCACAGTTTTTCTACAATAGAATATCAGAGCATCAGAATAGAGTATAATTTTTAATAGAATTTAATCAAACCTAATCAAATTGGACACATTATCATTGATAAAATAATATTAAGAGAAATACTATTTAATACCTAAAGACGAGAGACGCTTTGCTAGGTAATGGTTATTGAATAAACAGTTTTCTAACTATTTCCTCTATAATTGTGTACTCAACTCCTTTTGAGCTTTACATGGAACCTATTTTCTCCTTATAGAAGACAAGTCATTATTTTAAACGAGCCAAACAAAGTCAATCGTTCCGAATTAGGATCCTGATATGGATCACCAGAAAAGGTCAGAATAACTAAAATAATCATATTTTCTATCTAAATAATAATATTTT